GGACAAAATAAATTTTAATTCTATTTTTCTCTTTCAAATAAATCATCAAAATAAATTTTGATTCTATTTTTCTCTTTCAAATAAATTATCAAAATAAATTTTGATTTTATTTTTCTCTTCCAAATAAATTAAAAACATAAGTAAATAAATCATCAAAATAAATAAGTCTAACAAAGTAGGTTTAGATTCTTTGTAATGAAATCTTTACACCACAAAAAGAATGACCAAAAACCATTAAGATTTGAATGAGAAATTGACTCATTAAGTTGGCTTCATGAAAAAGGTGTTAAGAAAGGTGTAAAACCTTGTATCCCACATTGATTGTAGAGGAGAGCATTGATGGGTATTTAAATCTAAATTTTCCGAACGAAAGGGAGTTATAGATGCTTCAAGGATGGGCTTGAGTCAAGACTATGGTCCAAGTTGGCTATGCAAAAATTGCCACACGTGCGCGTGCATGCGTGTTGCCCGCCTGCCCAGACCAGATCGGGCCGGGTCCGTGATCTGTGGGCTGTAGGTTGTGGGTCGTGGGTCGTGGATCTTGGGGCTTGCTAGAATGGATTGAGTGTAGGGGTTGGGCTTGGCCCACCCATCTTAATCTTTTTGGACCAAGACAGATCTGTGGGCTACAGGAATATATACACAAAACCTATGTTTATAATAGAGCTGGTAACTCTTCTATTCATGATGTATTTAATCCATTAGTTTTACAGATTAATGCAAAATTGATTTCTGCATTTGTGAAGAGCTCTGATGGCTGAAGCGTTTTCCTCTCTTCCTCCATGTGTATAAAAGGAGACCATTCTCCTTCATTTTGTGGACCTAGAATATTTGTTCTTATCTTCAAAAGTTTCTCCCATTTTATATTCTTCCTAGTGAGAGTGTGCCATCATAGTTCTGTTCGTCGAAACTACTCAGTCGGTGCATTGTTGTAGCTGATCCAACCGTCGTATCTTGGGAAACAGCTGTCGAATAACCTTTAGCACCCAACTGGTGATATGACGAATCTATTTTAAGAATGCTATTTAGTGCAAATTTCGGTTTTGCTTTCTTTGCTATTTTATCTTATGATGTATTGTAATTTTCAGCATAAATTTCTTGTTCTGAAATTTTAATTGTCCATTATAAATCTATTTATTTTATATTATTACACAATTAACACAACAACAACATGGATGAAAAAAAATCCCTTTTACTTTACCTATTGAGAGGGCAATTATGTGGTTTATACTCTTGCACCTATTGCAGCCACCCTTTTGCAAGAAGTTCTGTTTATACACTATTACCTTTTATTTTTGTAGCCTTTTTTGAATAGGGACTGGTGTGGTCCCTTTTACTTTCATTTTGTATCAAATGTACTGAACTTATCTTTTAAATTTAATGCATTAGGATTTTGTTATAAAAAATAAAAAAAAATAGTCCGGTAATGGAAAAAAAAAAACCAAGTCCCACGGGCATATCCTAATCCCCTCCCCAAGGGGATTTGTAGTTCGGAGGGGATTACGAATCCCTTCTTCATCTTTCAAAACAAATATGATATTAGTGGGTCTCAAATTTTTTTTTTTTTTTTTTTTTGACAACTGTAATTTTCAAGCTTGTTCACATAATTCATATATTTGACGTCGTTTTAAATGCAAGAATTTTATTTTATAAATGTTTTAACCATTTACTATTCAAGTGACAATACAACATGGATGACAAGCATCCGTTTTGCTTTACCTATCGAGAGGCTAATCATGTGGCTGATACTCTTGCAACTTTTGCAATCACCTTTTTATAAGAAGTTTTGTTTATACACCATTCACTTTTATTTTTTGAAGAAAGCTTGAGACCTCTAATTAGAGGTACCACTAATGATGTGACAATAGGTTTCACTCAATATGTGCTGTCTTTTTTTTTTTTTTTAACCATTTCCACCTAACTAGTTGTAGATTTAGAGGTCATTATTTAGAGTTCTAAATCATTACTGTTATTTTTGTACCCTTTTTCTGAATAGGGACTAGTATGGTCCTCCTTGCTTTTTAATTTAACAAATATGTGTGGGACTTTCAAAGTTGGAGATCTCCATTGCCCTCAAAATGATATGGACCAATCTTTTTTTTTTTTTTTTTTTTCTTTCCTTTCTGGACCAATTGTGTTTTTTGGAAGTATGTAGCATTGCATTAGTATTTTGTTAAAAACAAAAAAAACAAAAAAAAAACAAAAAAAAAACCAAAAAATACTAGTCCGGTAATGAAAAAATAAATAAATCCATAGACCAATTTCAGAACACAAAACAATGTATATATGCAAATGATGCATATATAAGGTGCAGAGATCAGTTGAGAGACTTCTATTAAAATGATGGAACCTCTAGAAGGGTTTATATATTTTTGCATAATAAATACATAATATAAAACATAAAATAATATATTTCCGGGCTGGGTCAGTCTACAATTTTAAATTTCAAACCCAATTGAAAATTGAACCGGTACAAAATATTAGCGTAGTGCAGCCCTATAACCTAAAATATCCTTTACAAACCCTAAAAATATAAGGCTGAGTTGGATGGGCCAACTGGTTAATACCCTGCCCAAATGCCATGTCTTAATCTTATGCGAGATATTTTTCTTATCTGTCCAATTAACTTTTGTTTGTCAAGATGAGATTACAAGTTATTTATTTATTGAAAAAATTCAAATCATTGATTTTTTTGAATTACGCATTTTTGTTTGATAGTTGATATCCAAATTTTTTTTTAAAAAAAAAAAAGTCATGAACTAAAAAAAAATTCTATTGGGCTGCATTTGGACTCTTAAGTCCTTACCATCATATTGATTACTAAACATTGATGTCTAGATCCAGTGTTAACCTTTGGGCCATGGTTTAAAAGCTAAAACTCGGCTGTAAAATTTATACATTGAGTTTGCCCGATTCAAATAAACAACTATGGGTTGAGTTCATCATATACCCATCACCCAATCCGATCATCTCGGATTGAGGATGAGAACAACTGATTTTGACCAATTTCGAAGCTGGACATATTCGGGTTGAATAGTTTTGATTAAGGACCGAAACGAACCACCTCACCATGTTAAAGTAGAAACCCAAAAATTAAAACAACATTTCTAACCACAAAAATTTGGACGAGGGGGTAAGGGACAAGGATTGTGTTTAAATTATATATTTGAGTAGAGATTTAAAAGAATAAATAATAAAATGAGTGAAATGTAAATGAAATATAAATAAATTTTTTGCTTTATTTCCCTCTCATTTTTCCTTGCCCTTTCAAAACTCTACCTGAATTCATGATTATTCGTGATTCAAATATCGTCTAAGTGTGAGGGATGAGAAACACTGAAGTGAGACTTGAGAGGGGAAGGGATGAGAGATCAAATTTTAGAGAAAAAGGGCTTTGGATAATGGAAAGGGTAGGAGAAAAAAGAGATATGAGAAGGTGAGAGCAAATTGTAGAGGGCAGGGATATTTGTAAAAAAAAAAAAAAAAGATAAATAAAACAAATGAATAGGATTTTGTAAGATTGGTCACACACATAAGCTTTGTCATTTGGCCACAAGGCCCGCGGCCTGCTTAGCCCGAGTGGGCTAGCCCATCCTAAATGAGAGTGCGCCTTGACTTGAGCCTTGGGTTTGAAGCCCGACTTGGACATTTGGCAATCTATGAGCTTGGCCATTACACTGCCAGCGATTCCAACCCATTGAGTCAACTCGTGATCCCGTCAAAAATTATGAAATAAGGAGCAAATTGCAAATAGATGAAACAATCACAAAATAATTGCACTATAGATGAGAATATTTTTTGATGTAACTCTGACCTACAAAAAAAACTTGCACCAAGCATATGAATCGATTTGCACCATGCACATAGGATACTTGAACCATCATCAACTCTGACACACAGAAAAGACTTGCACCAAGCATAGGAATCAATTTGCACCATACACATAGGATATTTGAACCATCTTTATCCACTGTTCCATTGAAATGCAATTTTCCCAAAAAATATAGAAAAAAATAAAAAATAAATAAAAATAGAAATTAAATCTTGACCCATTAGGCTAAGGCCGTAGACTCGTTGGCCCGAGTATTGACCTAGTCAGCAACCTAGTCTAGGCCAAGTCCATTGGGCAAGGCTTGAACTAAAGGTTTTGGCTCACAACCTGACTCGGCTTGCCATAAAAAAGAAAAACATGCTGGCCTTAGCCCACAAGCTGGCTTATGCTCCACTTTCACAGGCTAACCCTTACTCACACAGGATAATATTTTTCCTAGGATTCTATACTCATGAATTGACAAGAGTTATAAAGCATACAAAGAGAAATAAAAAGAGAGAGAAGAAAAAAGTAAATGATATTGACCTCCCCTGAGGTTTACGATAATCGTACATTCCTCCCTTCAACTTCCTTCAACTTTCTAAAATGACAATTACCTCCACTGAGTTACCTTATGTTAAGATGGTGTTAGTTTTACCATTTCACCCGTAGTTGCTCTGTGTCAATATTATTGTTCTTCTTTTTCTCGTATGGTAGTGTATGATTATGTAGTTTGATCTTTTCTCAATGTGTTTACTAGCAATTGATCTATACGATGCACAAGATATGCACGAGATAGTAACTTTCTTAAAAAAAATAACAAAACAATGAATGGATTACTAACAGGGTTGCAATTTAAAAAATTCAACGTCATGTTTAATTCATTGTTTCACAAAACGTATGAGGAAGTCAATCCATGAAGTTAGAATCAAGCAAAGGCAATTTAGTCTTCTAGCATTTATTCACAACAGTTTTGCTCTAATATCTCACAAAACAGAAAACAAACATTACAAAAGCATGAAAAACAGAAAATGCATCATATGGATCTAGTCCATTCTACCAGGAAAAAATCATTAATCAGTCAAATGACGTGAGGTAACATAGGAAAAAAAAGTTAATTTGGGTGAGCTCCATACCGGCATTTTATTTCTTTTCCTTCAAGAAGCATCTCCACAGCAAATTACAATGATCAGATCACAGCAAGATCAAAGATAAAAACTAGCTGAGAAGTACCAGTCCTGTGTGCTTCATTGGAAGGGCTCGTTGGACGACAATTGTAGGAAATATAGGCGCAGACAGGGCTCTCATCAGCCTTCAACTTTGTGCAGCACTTTAGAATATCAGGATCAGTAGCTGCAAGGAGGGCACTTCTCGATCCTTCTTCAGGACTGAACAGAAAAAATGGTACCATATGATACGCAACTTGCACAATTTTAGGAAGATCACGCGCAACGTTTGTTTGAACACTTCCAGGGGCTGCACAAACTATGCTAATCCCGGCTTCTGCAGGAATGTGCTTTTGGAGGATGCTGCTGAACTTGACCTGTGCTAGCTTACTACTCGAGTAACCCTTCAAGCTTGAGAATTCGCTTCTCCTGGTAGCGAAATTCATGTCATTCGTATCAACATAACCAATGAAATGCATGACAGAATTCACATTGATTATTCGACTTGGAGCGCCTCTTTTAAGAGATGGCAAGAGTAGTACTGAAAGCAATGCTGGTCCAAGATGGTTCACTTGCATATGCGTTTCGTACCCATTACTTGAAAACTTTTGAGGCTCTCCAATGGAGAAGATTCCAGCGTTGTTGATAAGAATATTTAAGGGTTTTGAAAGTGAATTCCAGGATTCTGAGAATCTAACAACAGATTCCAGAGACAGAAGATTAAGCTCCATGACATCGACATTCAAGGAAGCGTTACTGGGCTTGAAGGTTCGCCATTTTTGGATTAGAGAATGGGCTGCAGTTGGGTTTCTTACTGCCATAACGACATGTGCCCCAGATTCTGCCAATTGTCTGGCTATTTCGAGCCCAATTCCACTGGTGGAACCGGTGACGATGCAGGAAATATCGTTGAGGGGAGGCAAGGGCAATGGGGTTTTCAGATGGCTTGATGTAAGCCGCTGAAAAAGTACCTCGTAAATCAGATGAGACCACCCTTTGAGCCACTCCATCCAACTCAATCCTTGTTCTTTGTCTTTTGAAGCCATTGAATTTCTCGCTTAAGCTGATGTAATGATGCCAAAAGGACTTGCTCTCTGGAGATCACAGCTCAGTGCTCACTCACTCTGTTTCTCAAAAGATCCGCCATTCAATAATGGTTTTTATGAAAAATGATATGAATGTTAATCATGTAAAAAATCTTGAAATGTTAGTGGCCCATATAAAATTGCAAATCTCACCACACAATCTCTACCATATCAATAGAAAGGCAGATTTGTACTTCATTTATTGAACATTCTAGATTAGTAGGCAGTAATGACTCCAAAGCTTGAATAAAACGAAAGTAGACCACATATGATGAAAAGAGAGAACTTTAAAAAAGCGTAGTAGGGCCACCAAAGGTATGAAAATCAATTGCATATCCAGGCTTTTCATTCCCATTTCTATGTAATATCAGTTGATTTGAGTGACAGAGATTGTATGAAAATCAATTGCATATCCAGGCTTTTCATTCCCATTTCTATGTAATATCAGTTGATTTGAGTGACAGAGATTGGTAATGAAAAAAGAACTCGGAATCTAACAAGATTTATAATTTAAAACTTGCATGATTACAACACTATTTTCTTTTATCATTAAAAATTTGTCAATTCAAACGAAGTTTGAAGCAAGAACAGCACGCAAGTCACAAATAGTGAAATCTTTTTTCATGATTAATAAAATAGTAGTAGAAAAAAAAAATGTGAACAATTATTTGTCTAATTTAAAAAAACAAAAAAACAAAAAGCAAGCCCAGTTTCATTCCCATTGGAAGGGGTGTGGTAGAGATAGATGAAGTACAAATTTAATGTTTCTTTGTTTTGACGTAAAATGTTTTTTTTTTGTTTTTCAAAAGTAAAAACATTTTCTAGATTAGAATTTTACCAAGGCCTCCACTGCCACCGTCACTATCACTGCCACCGCCACCGTCATTATCACTGGTATTGGCCCACCAACGCCACCACTTCCACACTTAATAGACAAAAAAAATACTTTATTAGGAAAGACATATTTTCTTAAAAAAAATTCACATCATTTTTCCCAAAAAAAAAAAACATTTTCAGCTGCATAATAAACAGCGATGGATTCAAAACTATGCCAGTGTGAATTCCTTGTACCCACTTCACAATACTCTCAATTACAATGATCAGATCACAGCAAGATCAAAGATAAAAAAATACAACTATTCAGTGGAATGACAAATAAGAGAATTTTGGGAAATTTTCACAATCAAATAGTTCGTTACTGGGAATTAGATTGTAAGATTGATTTGGTTCAACCAAGTTATTAAATACAATGTATCATTTCAAACCATCACTGATTTCATCAATGAAGATGGATTTAGCTTCTTGTTTAGTTGATCTTCGAAAATGCCCTAACCCTTTCATCAGAAACTTTCGAAATTATTGATACCATTTTCAATATTTCTTATTAATATCCCTAAATAATTTGAGAATAATCCCATCACGGCTCAGGCCTGTTGGGCCTCCGTGGACCACTACGGAGTACAATAATCCAAATCGTTCAATCCTCGTGAAAAATCACATTGATCAAATATTTGTAACCACTTAATTATTAACATCTCATCAATATAATTTTTTACAAATATAAAATACTCGACAGGATCAACCCAATGGAGCCCAACAATACGCACCAAATAGAGAAGCTGTTCCCATCACATAATATAACTTTTTGCATTGACGTAAATCTGGGTTAAAGTTCAGAAATTTATGCAACAAGAATGAAACTTACAGTGAAACAGAGTTTAGAAATTCTCAAACAATATGCATTTCCGTTATCCATCATAATTTTCTTGGGTTTTTCGCAATCATAAACAATATACAGGGGAATTCTAGTATATGTATAAATTACCTCTAAATGGATATGAACAATCTTCCTCGAACTCTTCGCATCAGTGGGGGATTGCTTGCTTGAGTGACTGGAGTACACAACTTTTTTTTTTTTTAATACCTAAAAGTACAATAATGGGCCATGACAGCGGACCTTGTTTTCTACTGAAAAGCCCAACTTATGAGTTGATCCTCAGCTGGAACTGTCAGGGTTTGGGACGACCCCTGACAGTCCAGATCCTCCGAGGGTTGATTTCAACCTATCGTCCCAAAGTGGTGTTTTTAATGGAAACAAAGAATAAAGCGGGTTATTTGGATAGACTTCGCCGACGGTTTCACTTTCCTCACAAATTTTATGTCGACCCCCTTGGTTTATCAGGGGGTTTAGCTGTATGGTGGACTGATGATATTCAACTTGATGTTCGTTTTTCATCGCGGAACATGATTCACAGTGTTATTTCTTCACCTGATTGTCAGAGTAGCTGGGCAGCTTCCTTTGTTTACGCTCCACCCCAAACACAAATTCGGAAAAATTTCTGGATAAAATTTCGGCAGCTGGCACATGAAAATTCTTACCCTTGGCTTTGTATAGGGGATCTTAATGAAATCAGCTGCATGGAAGAGAAGTCCGGAGGAGCAGTATGTCGCATGAGTCAGCTTCAAGCTTTTATGGAGTTGCTCTCTGATTGTGCTCTTATGGATCTGGAATTCAAGGGCCCGCCTTTCACCTGGTCTAATAATCAACGAGGTGCTGACAATATCTGAGAGAGACTGGATCGGGCAGTGGCCACAGTAGAATGGAGAGGTCTTTATCCTTGTGCCCAAGTATTTCATGAGCCTTTGTTTGGATCAGACCATTGCCCTTTAATTCTCAAATGTTGTGTCCCTTTGAAAAACATACCACGGGTGTTCAAATTCGAAACTATGTGGTCTTCTAGTCCTGGTTGTCTTGCAGTGATTAAATCCCGATGGGACCACTATCAAACAGGATCGCCAATGTTCCAACTAGTTAACCGGCTGCGGGAATGTCGGGAGGGGTTAAAGAGTTGGAGTAAAGAATGTTTCGGGAACACCAAGATTCAGATTGCTCGCCTAAAATTGGAGTTGGCAAATCTCCAATCTCAATCTTCGTCTACTGATATTTCAGAACTTCACAATCAGATTCAATCTCAGTTGAAAGAATTACTAGCCCGTGAAGAGATGTATCTCCATCAAAGGTCACGGGTTAGATGGTTAACTTATGGGGATAAAAATTCTAGATTTTTTCATGCCACAATGATCCAACGTCGTCAGCGCAATCAAATCCTTAAACTTCAAGATGCGAATGGCCGCTGGATGGAATCTGACCCTGAAATAAACAGCCATCTGTTGGAATATTTTTCTCAGTTGTTTTCAAGTGTGGGGGATAGAAATTTTAATGACGCTCTTTCTGTGGTTCAGCCGCTGGTAACAGCCTCAATGAATCGTCAGTTAATTTCCATGTTATCTGAGGAGGAAGTTAAAACTGCTGTCTTCCAACTTGGCGCTGTGAAAGCACCTGGACCAGATGGTTTCCCTGGTTTCTTTTTTCAAAAGTACTGGGATGTGGTTGGCTCCAAAGTTTATCAAGCTGTTCGAAGTTTTTTTGTGGGAGGGTTTATGCTTAAAGAGCTCAATCAAACAAATTTGGTTCTGATCCCCAAAATTGGTAATCCTACCAGTTTATCACAGTTCCGTCCTATCAGCCTTTGTAACTTCATTGTTAAGATCATCACAAAAATCTTGGCCAATCGTTTGAAAAAAGTGCTCGGTTCGTTAATCTCCCCAAATCAGTCAGCGTTTGTCCCGGGTAGGTTGATTCAGGATAATATCCTCATAGCGCATGAAGCTTTTCACTCCTTGAAACTGAAGAAGGGTGGGCAAGTGGGTTATATGGCCATAAAGCTTGATTTTAATAAAGCCTATGATCGTATAGAATGGGATTTCTTGGCTGCGGTTTTGCAGAAATTGGGTTTTCATCCACAGTGGATAAATTGGATTATGGAATGTGTATCAACTGTGAGCTTCTCAATCTGTGTAAATGGTGAAAAAAGGGCTGCTTTCATTCCCACCCGTGGGCTTCGCCAAGGGGATCCGTTATCTCCCTATCTTTTTATTATGGTCGCGGATGTACTCTCTAATCTTCTCTCACAAAGTCTCACGGACCGGCATATCACTGGCTTTAAGATTACACGGTTTTGCCCAGCCCTCTCTCATCTGTTATTCGCTGATGATGTGCTTCTTTTCCTAAAGGCAGAGGTCTCGGAATGTCAAAAAGTTTTGGACATCCTGTCAATCTACTGTGCTGCTTCTGGTCAAATGGTAAATTTTGACAAGTCCAGTGTCCAATTTTCCTCTAATGTGCCTCAAACTTTATGCAATTCCATTTGTACCATGTCTGGTCTTACGGTTTCACACCCATCTGCAAAATATTTGGGGCTGCCCTCTTTTTGGGGACGATCAAAAGCAGAGGCTTATGAGTTTCTTATAGAAAAAGTGGTGTCCAAACTTCAGGGTTGGAAGATGAAGTTGCTATCACAAGCTGCCAGGGAAACCCTGATAAAGGCGGTAGTCCAAGCAATCCCCTCGTATGCCATGGCCTGTTTTGCTTTTCCCAAAAAGTTCTGTGCTAAATTGAATTCATACATTCGCAATTTTTGGTGGGGAGGGGAGTTGGATGGGAAAGGGATCCACTGGGTTGGATGGGATCATTTGGTGATGTCCAAGCTCCAAGGAGGACTGGGTTTTCGTGATTTCCACAGCTTCAATTTGGCTTTGCTTGCAAGACAGGGATGGAGATTACTTAAGTATCCGCACTCTCTAAGTGCTCGTATTTTGAAAGGCATTTACTTCCCTCACTCTAGCTTTATGTTTGCAAATAAAGGTCGCCGCTTCTTGGGCATGGGCAAGCATTCTGCAAGGTCGAGAAATTTTAAAAAAGGGGGTCCGGTGGCAAGTTAATGATGGGTCTTCTATCCGTTTTTGGGCGGACAAATGGGTCCCCTCCCTCCCTAATTTTCAACTCACTACCATACAGCCTGTGAATTGTGAGATTCATCGAGTGGTGGATGCCATTGATAATACTTCTAAGAGCTGGAAATTGGATGCCCTTAATTCTCTCGTGTCAGCCTCTGAACTTCAAGCTATTTCCTCCATTCCCATTGCTTTGGCACCGTTGGCAGACTCTCAGGTTTGGCACTTTGAATCTAAAGGCTCCTATTCGGTCTCCTCGGGGTATCACACTGCTAGGTCCCTTGGACATGACCCTATAACACACTCTCCGTCTTCTTCCTTCCAAATCCCGAGTAATTTTTGGAAACACATTTGGGCTCTCAAAGTTCCGCCAAAAATCCGTCACTTTTGGTGGCGTGCGTGCCAGAATGCTCTAGCATCTAGAGAGAACTTGGTCCGGCGAAGGTGTGCTTTTTCAAATATCTGTCCAATTTGCCAATCAACTCCCGAATCGGTGGAGCATTTACTGTTTGGGTGTCACTGGGTTCGGGCAGTATGGTTTGGGAGTAATCTAAATTTCAGAGTTAACTGGAGTTCCATCCACTCGGTCCTTGAATGGTCGTGTGCTATGATGGAGCAGTTACCAAATGCCGCTGAACGGGAGTTTTTCTTTCAGCACGTTGTTTGGACTGGTTGGTTTATTTGGAAGGGCCGGAATGATTTCATCTTTAATCAACAACCGATAGATCCTCTTTCAGTTTTATCTCGAGTTCGGATGGCCATGGCAGAATTTGAGTCGGCTATGGGTTTGGGCGCTGTCTCGCGTCTTCCAATTCAGGCTGCTGCCCTTTCTTCGGTAGCAAACTGGGTGCCTCCGTCTATGGGGACTTTTAAAATCAATTGCGATGTGGCTGTTAAGAGGGGCTCTAATCTAGCTGCAGTCGCCGTGGTCCTTCGGAATTCTAAGGGCCAGCTACTGGATGGACTCACCAAGAAGTGTAGTATTTCTTCCTCTTTTCAAGGCGAAGCTCTAGCTTGCCGACTCGGTTGTCAGTTGGCTCAACAGTTCAATCCAGCGCTGGTGGTTGTGGAAAGCGACAATAAATCTGTCATCCACTTGTGTGTTTCTGAGGATGTTCCCCCTTGGGAGTGCGGAGCCATTATCCATGATATCAGGGGGATGGCTGCTCGAAGTCCTTTGTCTTTCCAGTGGTGTCCGAGAGTAGCCAATGGATCAGCTCACTGGGTGGCCAAGGCTGCTCTGCATGGCAATCTTCCTTTTGATTGGGTCTCTCACCCTCCTGCTGCGTTACGTTCTCTGTGTAATGTGGTGTAGCTTGGTGGTTTGTTTTGTTTCCTCATTTTCTATGTTCAAAAAAAAAAAATAAAATAAATAAATAAATAAATAAATAAATAGCTAAATTTTAGTTTTCAAACCTTGGTCTCCAACGTTTTCTGAAAATATTTTTTATAGAAAACTTCTTATAGAAAATATATAATTTTTTTATAAAAAATGTTTTCTTATATTTAGTTGCGATTTTTAAATTAATATATTAATAATTACATTAGCAGAGCTGATAATGACGGTGATAGAGTGAAAGTGAAAATGCCCATGAACACCCTAGGAGTGATGGTAGTGGTGCCACAGTAGTGTGGTGGTATATTGAAACTCCACAAGACTTGTGGATAGAAACTCTTTTTTTGTTTTAATATAGATTAGCTTTAATTCATTTCATTGGTAAAAACCAATTCAACGCCACAACCAGCTCTGTGTTCATAGATCGGGATCTTTGAGGTAATTTTTAATGTAATTGTAAGAATATTTATAAAGTGATTCATATGCCACATGTTTGTTTTATTAATTTATATTATATATATTTAATCAGTGTAATGGGTAATAGGTAACTAACATATGTCTATTATGCCATATGGTGATTTCTTGGGATGTTACAACTTCTCTAATAGTGAGAAGTTATTAGGAGTTACACTTGGATATGGGTTCAAGCCTATCTATATATCTGTCTGTGATAGCCATCAAACATAGATGTTGTTTTGTGAATAGAATAGGCTTAAAACTCTATTCCTTCTATTTTTCCCATGTGGTTCTGTGAAAGTGTCTA